ACTACATTGACAACCGTATTGCAGATCTCCAACGATGAATTTGTGGAATAGTTGGTGGTGGAGGGTTATCTGGTTACTCAGAGTTTTGTTCCATTGACTAATAGTTTGGAGGTGCATAGCGTAATTCTTCTCAATGATGACATGTCTCTAATTCGGAATTAATCCTACGTTAGAGAATATCTCCAATGTCGAAATCTAAAATTGAAATAGAGACAGAAAAAACACTTTACCTCAAATCTCTATTTAAAATTGGAATTAAATGGTATTAAAACTCGTTAAAATCGTAGTGTTTTGAACATGTGGCAAATGTAGAAGAAAAATAGGGGAGAATAAGCTAAAACTTCATGAGGCCATCTCCTCAAGATAAAATTCTATGAGTTTTGTACAATTAAATATTGTAAGGCTAGAACAAGGACAACTGTTCCAAAACATTAGTCGAAACACATGTAATTAAGGTGGTCCAAACACTCCCGAAGATTAAAAGAAACAAATTTTGTAGTTATACCTACTAGTGTGGTTCAAACATAGAGATGAATAACTCAAACCTAATCCCTTAATCAGTCGTAAAAAAATTACTTCAACAAGCTAGAAACCCGACAAATGGGGTCGATTGATCATGATATGCATGTGTGGGTTTGCTCTAAATGTGAGGTAGATTAGGTCAAATGTGGGAGAACAAAAATGTGCTTGGTGAAACCAAACAATAGTTGCAACTTTGAGAAATTTTCTTTTGATGTAACCTTTCATACATATTTTTTCCAAATGCTTTATTCCTTTTGTTTGTTGGTCGGCAGAGGGTTTGCAATTATATTTAAAGCCCATGGGCCACTTTACCTTTTGCTTCTAAGCCCATGGGCCCTACTTGCCCTGTCTAACATCCAACACCTTTTTTTTCTTTTTCTTTTTTTAATTTTTCGTTTTCTTTTTCAAAGTTTGCGGTCCATTATTTGGACTCCACCACCTTTGTTTTTTAGGCGATACATAACACGTGTTTAAGTGAAAGTTCATGATTCTCGTTTCTTGTTTCTGCTTTCTTATTTTTAATGGAAAAAAATTTATTGTATGGTTTTAACCTCTAAGAATTCACGTATAATAGAACAATATTTTTATTTATATTTTGAAACAAATTGAAAATGTGAACCAGAAATGAGAAACTTGTTTTATGGGATTAGTAGAGATCATAATTACATAAAAGGATTGAAGGTATAAAATTTGCACTTTTGTTATGAAACAACTCAATTTAAGATGATACCCAATTTACAGTAAATTGTATCTATGCTTCAATATTAATTAACTTTTAAAATCTAAAATTAGTAAATTGGGAGGTTACCATTTAAATCCCTTAAATTTTGCCTAATTAAGACTTTCCAAAAGTAAAAAATACCAAATCCCAAAATACTAATCAAATTCCCAAAATCTTCCATAATTGAAAATTTTGAAAACCCCTCCTTCTCCTTCGATTTTTCTTTTTCCTCTCTTGTTCGAAGACTGCTTCGTTCCGTCCGTCTACGCTCCTCCGTTCCGGCCGTCTACGCTCCTTCGTCTTCGGCCATCTGCGCTCCTTCTCTCCAACTTTTCTTCTT